CTATCCCAGCCTCATCTCGGGCCCCATCCTGGCCTCATCCTGGCTCTATCCTGGCCCCATCACAGCTCCATCCCAGCCCCCTCCTGGCCCCTATTCCAGCCCCATCCTGGCTCTATCCCATCCTCCATCCCAGCTCCATCCTGGCTCCATCCCAGCCCCATCTCATCTCTCTCCTGGCCCCTGCCCAGATCTATCCCAGCCCCATCCCAGCTCCCACTCCAAGGCAACTTCCCTGGCTCCCCCGGCCGCCCCGTGCCCCCCCAGCCCCAGTCCCGATCCCGATTGGGCCCGGGAAGGGCCCCGGGGTCGTTCCCTGGCTCCGGGTCCCCGCGGTCCCTTGTGCCGCCCGGTTCAGCCCCGCGAGCGGCGTCTGTTTGCACCGGTGCCACGTTTTGCAGCCCAAACCCTGCCAAGCCGGGACCTGCCCCAGCCCTGTGTCCCTGGGGCTGAATTTCTCCCTCAGTCGCATTCGGGCCCCTCCGTGTGTGCGCTGACCCCGGGCAGGTGCCGGACACCCGCAGGTCGCGTCACCCTCTGCTCGTGGTGGCGGCTGCGGGTGCTGGGGCAGCGCCTTCCCCCTGTTCCAGGGCAGGGGCTGCCCAACCCACTGCCCGGGGGTGACGAACCCTCGTGCCTGCCCAGCCGGGGGTCCCACGGTGGGAGGGTCTCCTCCCTGGGCTCTTCCTCTGGTCCCTGGGCGACCCTCTGGCTCATGGGGGTTGCAGGGCCAACACCAGGCGGGGGGAACCATCTACCCAGGCAGGGAACGGGCAGGAGCGCGGGGTGGCTCCAGGGTGGGAGGAACCACGTCTGGTGCTGCCTCTGGGCTAGTCCCGCGGGCAGGAGCGGGGCAGGGGCACAGCCACAACCCCTCTGTGTCGGCAGAGCCCTTTCCACTTCCACATGGACCGGCAGAGCTCTCTGGAGACGGTGGTGGACGTGGTGGTGAGCGTCCTGCGGGCCAACGACTGGCAGGAGACCAGCCTGGTGTTCTGCCGCCCCTGGGACGTCTCTGGCTTCCTCGGCCTCTGGGCCCGCCGCTCCCAGCTCTCCCTCCGCACCGTCCTGGACCTCGGCTACCTGGACGAGCCCAGGGCCACCCGGTCCCTCCGGCAGCAATGGGAGCGCCTCAGGGCCCTCTCCAGCCCCGTGCTGGTGCTCGGCTGCGACCTGCGGCGCGCTCGGCTCGTCTTCGGGGCGGCCGAGGAGCTGGGGCTGCTGCCGCAGGAGTTTCACTGGATGCTGGGCTCCCCGCTCAGCGCTGGAGAGCTGCAGACCGAGGGGCTGCCCCTGGGGCTGTTGGCCTACGGGGAGGTCAACCGGCCGCCGCTGGAGCTCTTCATCCAGGACATGGTGGAGTTGGTGTCTCGGGGCATCGCCAGCGCCGCCCGCGCGCGCCCCGACCTGGCTCTGCTGCAGACCATGGTGAACTGCAACGACAGGCGCCAGGCGGGCAGCGAGTCCTCGGGGCAATTCCTCTCCCGGTAAGTGAGGGGCCGTGGGTGCCCCTTTCCCCCACCCCGGCTCCATCGTATGGGTGTGTCTGGGGGCGCCGTGCCCCAGCCCCGGGACGGAGTGAGGGCAGGGCTGGGGTACTCGGGGCAATCAGCTGCCGCCGTGGGGCTCGGCTCGCCCCGGTCCCTGGGACACGATTTGTGCTGCCTGCATGGGAGTGACATGTCACTTCAGATTTCCCTGACGCTGCCCGAGCACGGTTGCTCTATAAATATTAATAACACTTGGCCCTGCTGGCACAGTGAGCTGCAGGGCAGCGGGGCCGGATCCTGCTGCTCCTCCCTGCTGCTCTGTGTCCATCCGGCACGTCCTGCTCCCGGCCCCCAGCCCTGTCCCACGGCCCATCGCTCCTCCCGGTGACACCGGAGCTGTGACAACTCCCCCCCCGCCAGGTTCCTGGCCAACACATCCTTCCACGGCCGGACAGGGCCCGTGCACGTGGAGAACGCGGCGCTGGTGCGCCCGGAGCAGCGGTACCGCGTCTGGAGCCTTCAGCGGGACTCGCGGGGGGACCCCACCTGGGTGACGGTGGGGACCTGGTGGCACGGCAAGCTGGAGCTGGAGGAGGGCGCGTGGCAGAGCCACCGTCGGCGCAAGAGCCCCAGCGAGGGGGCTGGGGGAGCCCGTGCGAGGCTGCGGGTGGTGACGCTGGTGGAGCACCCCTTCGTCTTCACCAGGGAGGTGGATGAGGACGGGAGCTGCCCGGCCGGGCAGCTCTGCCTGGACCCTGGCACCAACGACTCGGCCGTGCTGGACGCCCTCTTCGAGGAGCTCAGCGCCGACAACGGCTCGGTGCCGCGGGCGTACAAGAAGTGCTGCTACGGGTACTGCATCGACCTGCTGGAGAAGCTGGCCGAGGACGTGCCCTTCGACTTCGAGCTCTACATCGTGGGCGATGGGAAATATGGGGCCTGGAAGAACGGGCGCTGGACGGGGCTGGTGGGGGACTTGCTCAGTGGCACGGCCCACATGGCCGTCACCTCCTTCAGCATCAACTCGGCGCGTAGCAAAGTCATCGACTTCACCAGCCCCTTCTTCTCCACCAGCCTGGGCATCCTGGTGAGGACCAAGGACACGGCGTCGCCCATCGGGGCCTTCATGTGGCCCTTGCACTGGACCATGTGGGTGGGCGTCTTCGTGGCCCTGCACATGACGGCACTCTTCCTCACCCTGTACGAGTGGAAGAGCCCCTACGGCATGACCCCCCACGGCCGCAACCGCATGAAGATCTTCTCCTACTCCTCAGCCCTCAACCTCTGCTACGCCATCCTCTTTGGGCGCACCGTGTCCAGCAAGACGCCCAAGTGCTGCACTGGCCGCTTCCTCATGAACCTCTGGGCCATCTTCTGCCTCCTGGTGCTCTCCAGCTACACGGCCAATCTCGCAGCCGTCATGGTGGGGGACAAGACCTTTGAGGAGCTCTCGGGCATCCACGACCCAAAGGTAGGAGAGTGTCTGAGTGCGGGAGGTCTCCCCAGTCCCGCTCCTGCAGCGCAGCCCCTCCCGAGGCTCTTCCCAGCCCCCCCCAAAGCTTTGTGTCCCCCCACCCTGGCGGTTAATCCTGGCCCAGCCCCAGGGCGGGGGAGAAGTGGGCTGGTATCACACTGAGGCTGCCCTTGCTGAGGGGTCGGGGTTCTTTGCCTGCAAGAGTTGATGCATCTCCCCAGGCTGTCCAGACCCGCCCCTGCCCAGGGCTGTCCGGGATGGCCGGGGGCTGCTCCTGCCGGGGCAGGGGGTTCTGATGCTCTGGTGCCTCCTTCCAGCTGCATCACCCCTCGCAGGGCTTCCGCTTCGGCACGGTGTGGGAGAGCAGCGCCGAGGAGTACATCCAGAAGAGCTTCCCCGAGATGCACGAGTACATGCGGCGCTACAACGTCCCCACCACCCCCGCCGGCGTCACCATGCTCAAGTGAGGGGGGGGTCCCCTCCTGTACCCCTCCCGGGGCAGACATCGCCCTTCCCTGCAGCCTGGGCACCCCCACCCTGTGCACACAGAGGTTTCCCCCCCCCACGCAGGGAAGGGGGGGGGCAGCCGCATCCCTGAGGGTCCCCCTGCATTGGTGCAGGACGGAGCCCCCCAAGCTCAACGCCTTCATCATGGACAAGTCGCTGCTGGACTATGAGGTCTCCATCGACTCCGACTGCAAACTGCTCACCGTGGGCAAACCCTTCGCCATTGAAGGTTTGGGGGGGGGGCCATGGCAGGT